ATTTACAGCAGGAAAGTCCAAGGGCTCGCAAAACAAATGCAGAGCCGAGGTCTTGTGGTGGAGCTGATGAAAAATGCGACCCAAATAAAATTTCTGAAGATTTAGTTAAATGTCTTTCTAACATTTTCATCAGATGTCAAGAAAATGAGCAAGATCCAACATCCAGGGATCCTTATGGAATTTGCTCCAGCTTCAGAAGCAGAGATATTGGTCCATATAAGAATTTTATTGATGTTAAAGCAGCTTCAGTTAACCAAAATAGATCGTCAAGTTCATATGCGTTTCTCATTCGTCAACTGAAGTAAGCGTTGTTTAAGATATATATATATATATATATATATATACATACTACTTTCAAAAACGAAAATTTCTCGACTTAATTTCATTTTTTTTTTTTTTGCAGAGGTCTTCTTGGAAGACTTTCTTCAGTTAACTTGCAGAAACTTAATCAGCAGGAGAAGTTAGCTTTCTGGATAAACATTTATAACAGCTGCATGATGAATGTAAGCAGTACTAAGCAATATATTTGTTCCTGTCTTGACTTGATTATAACTAGTATTACATTGAATCCACTAGGGTTTCCTTGAACATGGAATACCAGAGAGCCCTGAGTTGGTGGTTACACTAATGCGAACGGTAAGTCCATGATCAAAACTTTCTGCATGAAAACATCTTTCCTAAAATATTCAGTGTTTCTAATTGAGATGGTCCCATCCCATGGGTTTGTTGTGCTTTGCTGTGCTTGCAGGCGTCTATAAATGTAGGGGGACACTTTCTCAATGCAATCACTATTGAACACTTCATTCTTCGCTTGCCATATCACTCAAAATATGTAAGCTCTTTGTTCGCTCCCTTTATCTTAGATTTGTTATTTTCATTACTCAAATAACTATTTACTTTTACATTTCTGGCTTGATCTATCAGATTTCCCCAAAAGGTTCAAAGAAAAATGAAATGGCTGCAAGAAGTAGATTCGGATTGGAGTTTTCAGAGCCACTTGTTACATTTGCTCTCTCATGTGGTAGCTGGTCCTCACCCGCTGTAAGTAGATGCTTTAGGTCTCGATTGTTTGTTTGCATTTGCGTTTATATTTGATACATTTTTGTTTTTCTTAGATAAAGCTACAACTTTTAGTAACAATTGTTTATTGCAAAAGAAAATGATATACATAGATGAGTTAAATTAATAAGAACCAATAGAATAAGAAAATGCACTAATTTATTAATAACAGAGTATTATGTTTGTTAATTGAGTTCATACTCTCTGAAACCTTATGAAGGTACGTGTGTACACTGCGGGTAAAGTGGAGGAGGAATTAGAGGTGGCAAAAAGAGAGTATTTGGAAGCCTCAATAGGGATATCAAGGACGAAAATGGGGATACCGAAACTGATGGAGTGGTACAGTCATGACTTTGCAAAGGATACTGAATCATTGCTTGATTGGATTTGCCTTCAGTTGCCAACTGAGTTAGGAAAAAATGCTCTCAACTGTCTTCAACAAGGGATGTCTCAGTCTCAGGCTTCTACGCGTATCCATATTATCCCTTATGACTTCAGTTTTAGATACCTTTTCTCCATCTGAAAATGTTTTTTTTAAGGACTTTCTTTTTCTTACTCCCTCAAAGAAGTTGGAAATAGTACTTTTCTTTTGGTTGTGGTTAAGATAGTATTTTCTTTTACAGCAGTATATGTATAGGAAAAGCACATAAATAAGTGGAAAGTGAAGTTATTTAAGTTTAGTTTGCATGTCTTGTTTTTTTCCATTCCACAGAACTTTTAGGTATGTACAGCCAGGGTTGTATCCCTGAATTTTTAACCTTTACATTATGGGGGTGATCGGTAATTACTGTAGTGCTCTCTAGAGTCCCATTTATTTCTAAAACACTAAACTGAAAGCAATCAAGCTTTAATAAAAAAAAAATCATATCTTTAGAAATAACCTACATCCGTATAAGTGCTTTCCAGAGTCAAATATTCACATTAATTTTTGAGAGCTTTCCATAAAATTCAAAAGAAATAAAATTTAAAGTCACAGCAAAAAATCTACAGATTTTTTTTACAGCAAAAATATTAAAGTTGCAGCCGTTTCCAATGAAACCCTATGTTTTGTGTTTTTATTTTAGAATTAAGGAAAGAGATCATTGTCTTGACTCCAGGTTCTTAATCGTTTTTCTGTAACGTTTTTCAAGTTCATGATCGCTTTCCGTAAGATTGTTATACGATTTGTTGATATATGTTTGTAATTTTAATCCGGTTTAATACCCTTACAGGATACGCTTAAAAATGAAATGATTGAGAAACCACTAGAGTGGCTTTATGGGAGATTGAAATTGAGAAAACTGCCAAAAAAAATTCTTGAGTTTTAAAATAAAAATAAAAAATGCTTTCAATTTGTATTTGAGCAAAAAAAAAAATACTTTCAATTTTTAATATTGACTATTTTAACTCTAATTTTTTGTTGATTCAGCTATTTTAGAAATTTGAAAAAGTCAATTGTTAAATATGTAAACATCTGTTAACAGTTAAGCGAAATGATATCGTTTTATATCTGTAAGCACCTAAATCATCACTTTTTTTTTCATGATACGGAATCTCAAATTAGAAATTCTAGATTTTCTAATTTTCTAATCCTTTCATTCTATAATTTCCAAAATTCAGAGTCACTAGCGACAAAGAAAGAAGAAGATGGCTAAAACGATGGGTTATTTCGGATTCGTCGTACAGAGAAACCTGAACTAAAAGGTGTTAAAGAAATGAGTTAACAGATGTTTACTTTGGGTTTAACGGTTTACTGTTACAAGCTTATAAAATGATTGAGTCAATGGAAATAAGAGTTTAAATGGTCAATATTTGAAAACCAGATTATTTTTTTGGCTTAAACATGAGTTGAAATATTTTTTTTACTTTAATTTAAAAGTTCAATTTGGCTGTTTTCTCGTTTGAAGTTACACTATTATTAATTTTATAAAAAAAAAATGAGAGTTTTGGCTTAAATTTATTTTTTCTCTTTTTTTTGTGTGAACTCATTTACTAAATCTGAGTTCTTTTCCTATATAAATCAGACAAAGCTTAAGTAAAAACAAATCAGACCAAGCTAATAAAATCTATATCAACATGGTAATTATTCTATTGACTAATTTTTTTAATATATGTATTTAGTTGAAAAGTCAATATTATATCAAGTATTTTTTAAATTGTAATTTTATGTTTAGTGCTTGCCATATTAAAGACTTCTCTGGGAATGATTTTCAAACATGGAACATGAATATTTCCATTCTTAATTAAATGCTTCCTTTCATTCAACGATTCTATAATATTTGAAGGATTGTAATTATCATAAATTAGGTGATTTTCCCGTGCTCATGCACGGGTATAAATATTTTTAAAGCAAATATATGATAATAATTGATTACTATTTAGTTTGAATTTTAAATTAATTTATAATTTGTATATGTTATATCTAGTCGATTTTGTTGCTTTTACGGTTGATTTAGTTATCATTTGGATAAAATGAATTGCATCTCTGAATTCAACTGTAATATTTTAAAATATATTAATTTTTAATTAATTACTTATTTGCATATAAAGGGTGTTGTCTTAGATATGTAAATATGTTTTAGAAAAATTATGTATAACTTAAGATATATTGTGTTTGGAATGAATTAAAAATTAGCTAAAGTGTCTGATTCCAAAATATGTAAATTAATATAACGATAATATTATAAAGTCTCATGCATATATAATTTTTTTTTTAAAACTAAAATTTTAAGAGTTGGTTAATATTTATTTTCATTTGCTAATATGTTTTCAGTTATCATATGATCAATAGAAGGTTACATGCATAAGTAGTTGATACATTTTTGAAAGCTCATGAACACATATCAATATTTACAATAATTAAAACATTTATAAATTCTAAATAACTTTATGCTTTAGATTTATTGAATGTAAACTGAAATTTATTTTAAATAATCGTAAAATTTGGAATTCAGATTTTCTTTGGTATTTTGATTATGGTTATATTTAATTTCACAAACATAAAAACATAAACTTTAAAATAAAATTTAATATCAAGTAAAAAATCATTTTAATAATGATAAATATCATATATCTAGCTCATTAAACTAATTGTTAATTATTTAATCAAGCGATGTTTATTGTTAAGTTTATTTTTAGTTTTTAATATCTCTTAAAAATAAGCAGTACATAAAATTGTGATTGTATTTGAAAATAATATTATATAAGTAAAATATAATTTAAAGATAATTTCTGTAATTGAAAGATATTATAGTTAACTAAATATAGGAAAATGATTAAAAAGTTTCCATAATACTAATTTTTTTTTGTCACAAAAAAATGTATTCCAATAATACCAATAATACTAATTATAAGCTTTTTTATTAGTCTAAAAGTATATTTTATGTTATTTAAAAATATTTTTGAATGTATTATTACTATTTTGTGAGCTTTCTTTTTTTATGAAATCATATTATATATATAAATATATTTTTCGTTTTCAATTTGTTTTTTATGGCTTTATAAAAAAATTCCTTTTTATTACATATATTTTTGAAATTTTTTGAAAAGAAAACTAAATAAAAAAAATTAATAATACTATCTTTAACTATTTTTAATTCATTAATGATATCAGTATAATCAACCATCATGAGAATAAATGTGAGAGCGACATATAGAAAATTGACTTCTTAAATAATATTATAGAGATGTGTCCTCTAAATCTACCAACTATTCAACGATTCTATAATATTTAAAGGATTGTAATTATCATAAATGTGTCCTCTAAATCTACCAACTATGCTTATTTTCGGTATATATTTTATGAATAGTTAATATATCTAAATTTATTTTTTCACTATAAAAAGGTGTATGTGAATGTGATATCTAATATTTTGATGCTTCTACTACAAGTCACAAAAGTTTCCCAAACCAAAATGGTCCCAATACTAATTTGTCTACACAAAGAAAACACGTGATCCAATATTACTTTTATTTAACTTTTGTTAACTATTATTAGTATGCAAAAAAGTTATATACATAGCAGAGCACTAAATGTTTATATTCAAAAATATAATTATTAACTTAAGTTTACTCTACGCAGCGTTGATGTCTGAGGCCTCCTTGCTCCTCGTTTCAATATTTAAAGCTTTTGGATGAAGTAACTAAATGGCATACCTCTTCTATATAATAAAACCATCAACTAGTTTTTAAGAGGAAATATATTTCTAACGAAATATTTTTATCACCATTTAATTGACTTTAAAACATAGTAAAAACGGACGTCAAAAAGAAAAAAAAAGTGTAACAACAATTAATGAGATCTGAGAAAGAAGATACTAAGCTCTGTACCCTGACCACTACCTTCAGGGTTAATCATATACAATGCTTCAGAGTCCTTAGACCCAATAACTCTATCGAACCGAGCTCTCATGTAAGTCATTTCTCCTTCCGTCTCTTGCTCGTATTGGTCTCTACTTGGTAAAACTCCAGCTCCCATCGAAACACCTCTTAATGCATCAATCACATACATCTCCTCCTCACTCATATTCGTTCTCCTTATCGAATACCCTATTTTCCTTCCGTTACAATAAATCCCCCACACAAACTCCTCCAACACTTTCTTCCTCGGTGTCTTTGTCTCGCTTTCTAACGCAATCCTCACGGTCTCCGAGGCCATCTCCTTCTGTAGCGCCGAGGTCAGCATAGGGAGCTCGATGATGAACGTTGGCAGGCAATGAGGATCTTCTTGTATTGCAAGAAACACTCTTCCTTTGCGGAACCCGAATATTGTTCCCGTTGTTGCAAAGTCTTTAAGTAAGGGCTTTCGATGCCCTCTACTTAGCAAGTTCACCATCTTGCAACCAGATGATAGCATTGGCAAGAGTTTGAACATTTTGAGAACCCCACCACCGATGCTTCCAGAAGATTTCTTCGGATTTTTAGAATCCATGGATTTGCCGGTGTGCCGCAACATAGAGAGCACAGCTGAGCTCTCCATATTGAAGAAAGGGCTAGATCGGATTGGCATAGCTTTTACTTGTTTATGTGTGTGTTTTGTGGATGATTGGATGAATACAAGGTTATGTATATAAGATAAATTATATATAGAAAGACAGATCAGTGGTGGGGAAAGAGGGGGTGGGGGTCTAGTACTATTACTAAGTTAGGAAGATGGTTTGTCGTTTGGTTTCGGAATCTTATTTTGAAAAAGAGAAACCAAATTGGAGAAGCAACTTTTTCACATTGTTTCTTTTCCTGGTTTATGATTTAGACATTAATGGGGATTTTTCACATTTAGAAGTCGATTACTTTAAGTTTTGATAAATCTGGCCGTTTTTATATTTTGAAATAGACTTTCGACTATTCTTTCTTGCATTCTTACTGACAAGTCCGTCTCTGATATATTAGTGGTCTTTAGACAAAAGAGAATACGGTCCTAAATTTGAATTTGTATAAGATTATTGTCGCTCTAATATATGTAATATAATTTTGTATTTTTTTTATTTGTAATACATTGATTTAACAAAACGGATGTACATTTTTTTGTTTCATTTTTGTTGTGTAGATCCTTTTGTAAGCATTTTCTCTTTTAATTCGCATAATTTCGTTATTTTAGGTCTCCGAATCCAAACCTCTTAGTGTATAAACATTAATAAACTCTTAATCAAACCATTGGGGGACTTCCACAAAAGATCATCATATATACTAAACCCAGACCTCCTGGTTTCGTTTTTGTTTCTATGAGCAGATTCTCAGCTGAATGGTTCCTTGATATATGTCATTTCGACTTTTGCGTGTGTATTTCTTTAGAATCATCATATATACTACCATTTTCATTTTTGTGGGTTAAACACGGTATCACCTTTGAGTTTTTTTTTTTAAATATCTAAAATACATAATGTGATGTTATAATCCGTTATAAGTAAACAAATTAGTTCAAATCGTTTGGTAGTTAAAGCATATGGTTTATGCTAACGTCCTTTAGGCTACCAAATTAGTAAGGCTGGCACTGATTATATACCATTATTCGAGTTTAATAGTGTTTATTTGACAAGGACATATAATCTAATACTTTATGTTAATGTTAATATCATCACTCCATATCAACTCCTTCCCATATAATGTTTTTTTTATGTAAGGGTTCACATTAATTTAATTTTCAAGAAGAGGTGTATCTGATAGATAGACTCCTTATCTGAATATTTAAATTGACCGAAAACAAGAGTACATATCTATGTGAGTGTTCATAAACATTATGACTTAGTTTCACGTAACATATTAATCGAACCTCAAACGTATTGACATCACAAACTTTGTCTCCTCATCACAAAGTTCCGAACACCGCTTGTTTCGCTAAAGAATATGTTTTCTTCCTTTTTTGATCGTTTTCATGTGTAAAATCACTCTCGAGAAAAAGATACTGTATACATTCAATGGAAAGAGCGCTATAACTTTCAACTAAAAAGCGTAAAACTTTGCAAAGAAGGTCTACACAGCGCAACATCATGAAAACGATGGTAACGAAAAAGATGAATGTGACCATATACCTATCTATATTTAATCATAGAAAACCATAAATCTTATAATGATATGTCATAGTGGAATGGAGAGAATGGAATGGGTCATCACTAAGATAACAAAACTTACAAGATTATATCATAATCGAATTCAGCGTTCTAGCTAGATATCTCTTCATCGCTTTACAAGAAATGAGAAACATATGCATACGCATAAACAAAGAGAGAAAAATCCCATGACCAAGAAGCATAGGCATAATATATGAAACACCACTAATAAAACTTTAGTTACAAACTACATTCACAGCCTTACATCAAAGATAGGCCAAAAATTAGGTTTATTCATAAACGTGTAACTTTACAAAATGTTTATATGTGATGGGAGTTTGAATAAGGAGGGCAAAATGAAAGAGAAAAGAGGAAAAGGAACGGTGGTTTGGCATAAGAGCATGTGCCGATGTCTCTGTTAGACTCAATAAAGCGACCACTGATTATTGTGGAGACTCATTTTTATGAATTCTTTCTATATTTCTTCCATTTTATCCATTTAACTTTATAACAAGGGAACAATGTCATCGTATGGGCACTAACTTATCGAACTCACTTCTCTTTAATTGTGGTGGGGGCTTCACTATCGACATCCACAATTAGTTAGTAGCTGCAAATGAGACCTACTAATCCAAATCCATTCACTGCATATGATAAGTTATCCCTTAGGTTTCTTTTTGGTTCACTTTATATTGTAAGAACTTCATAATGTTGATATCAGTGTGATACTCAACCAAAGTTATACGAATTGATTGATATCAGATTCAATGGATCTTTTGACTCTATCCGGGAAAAGAATGTGTAACATCCCAGTTTGTGGTATTTGAAAAAAAAAAGCTTAAGAGAATTGATTTGGTTATCTATGTCACCAAAGTACATTACCTTTTCGGGAGCACATCCATAGAGAACTCCAGAGTTAAGCGTGCTTGAACTGAAATAGTCAAAGGATGGGTAACCTATCGAAAAGTGATTTGCGATAACGTGTAAGTGAGACCAAAGCACGGGGAAATGTCATGTGGTGATTACGGGGTCAGTAAACATGACTCTAGAGACTTGGAAAATTAACAAACTAGCCGTTGGAACGGGATGGAGCCCACGAGCCGAGAGAGCGGCGTGGGTCATTAGCCGTGGACGGTCGGGGCGTTACAAGTGATATCAGAGCCAAATCCCGACGAGTGTGGAGTCAGTGAGGGCTCACACTAATATGGGTAACGATCTTGGGGCGCAACATGGACGTTGCGTTCTTTGAAAGGGGGTGAATTGTAACATCCCGGTTTGTGGTATTTGAAAAAATAAGGCTTAAGAGAATTGATTTGGCTACATATGTCACCAAAGTGCATATACCTTTTCGGTAGCACATCCAGAGAGAACTCCAGAGTTAAGCGTGCTTGAGTTAGAGTAGTCAAATGATGGGTGACCTATCGGGAAGTGATTTGTGATACCGTGTAAGTGAGGCCAAAGCACGGGGAAATGTCATGTGATGATTGCAGGGTCAGTAAACATGACTCTAGAGCCTTGAAAAATTAACAAACTGACCGTTGGAACGGGATGGGCCCACGGGTCAAGAGAGCGGGCGTGGGTGGCCCATTACAAGTGGTATCAGAGCCGAACTACGATGAGTGTGGAGTTAGTGAAGGCTCACACTAATAAGGATAACGATCTTGGGGCGCAACAGGGACATTGCGTTCTTTGAAAGGGGGTGAATTGTAACATCTCGGTTTGTGGTATTTGAAAAAAAAGGCTTAAGAGAATTGATTTAGCTACTTATGTCACCAAAGTGCATTTATTTTTTCGGGAGCACATCTAGAGAGAACTCCAGAGTTAAGCGTGCTTGAGATGGAATAGTCAAAGGATGGGTGACATATCGAGAAGTGATTTGCGATACCGTATAAGTGAGGTCAAAGCACGGGGAAATGTCATGTGGTGATTGCAGGGTCAGTAAACATGACTCTAGAACCTTGGAAAATAAACAAACTGGCCGTTGGAATAGGATGGGGCCCACGAACTGAGAGAGCAGGCATGGATGACCATTAACCGTGGACGGTCAAGGTGTTACATAATGCTTCAAGAAAGACCGGTTAAACCTACTGCTCAACATCACGAGGCCGAGGTAACTGAGGAAGAGGTAACCGAGGAAAACACTAGCACTACCTCTCCTTCTAACCGTCAATCAATGCATTTACAACGATTATTTCACGATCATGTAATGATCATTTCACTTTGTAATCTTTTTACTCAGATCATACTAAAGTTGTAATCTTTTTTATTCAAATAAAAGTAGTAAACTTAAAATAAAAAATTTATGCGAATTGCGAAGTAAAAATATGGGTATATGATTTTTTCTTAGTATAACTTCTGATCTGCGGGTTGACCCGGAAACCCAGCTCTAGGTGTATACGAAGTTGGCTTTTTGGAGTCGTAAACTTTAGAAGTTTGAAGAGCAAATAAAGTGTCACTACTGTATTTGAATAAGGGAAGCCTTGGAGATTTGACAGTGAAACTAACAAGCATTTAAAAGCCCAAATCAGTGGTTTCAAGCACATTAAAGACCATGTGCAGAGGACCCATGTAAGAGATTTTCGTTTGATCAATTCCCAGACTACCCAAAAGTAGGTTAAATACAGAGGAAATTGCTGCAAAAGTATCATCAAACAAAAAAACAAGAAGAAACCAAACTACCTAAAAGAAAGACATCTAAGAAACAGAGTCATGTTCCGTTTTCAAATTTCACAAAACGTGTCAGATATGATCCACCTTTAGGTCTTTACCCTCATCCACATCTTCTACTCTACTCCTCCACCTAAGGCCTGCAAAAACGTTTCTTAGAATCCATCAGAAATGTTGATCAAAAGTCTGAACAAACTAAAACAACAACTTCAGAAGGCTAAAAGGCAAGTATCGTGTTCCTTCCTTCACACTTTCTATTCAATACTTTCAATAATAGCAAAGAAAGACATTTTTGGGCAGATTCAAAAACAAAAGATGAAGGAGAGATGATTCAAAACCTGTGACATTTTGTTTCAGGAAGGTGGAGGCTAATCCTCACATATCCATGTTGAAGTTTCGGAATTAGGAACATTAAGCGATAACATTCCTTTAATCCACTCTATTCGAACAACTTGCTCTTCCAAGTCCATCACAGCAGCTTCTATAGACTCTGATTCCATTATATTCAACACAAGACCTTCCTCTCCTACTAACTTCTTCGTAACTCTCACCTTTCCTTCTTCTCTAGTCTCCTCATCTCCTTTCACTTGGTCTGAGTTAACACAAGGAAAACATTCATTTTACACATATTCAAAAATTATTTAGAAATCTCGTTGAAGCTAACCTTCACTCGGAAGTTTCATTAGCTTAGCACACTGCCTCTTTTCCCCATCCTATAACAAAAAAAAAGATTAATGTTTTAAAACAAACATAGTCAACACTCCATAAGAGACAAACACTTGCCTTAGAGAAAGGCACAATCCATCCATCTTCAAGTGACCATTCCAAAGAAGGACGCAAATCCTTAAACACAGCATCATAACTACCTCCTTCTCCATAAGGTTTAGGCAACAACTCAATCTAAACAAAAAAATCAAAAATCAAAAATCTCAAAAACAGCCTTTTTTAGCACATTTGCAAACTTAAGTTCAGAGACACACCTTCACAGTTTCGTCCTCTTCACTCACTTCTCGGACAGTACCAGACCAATAACAATCGTCTTTCCACCAATCCACCAAGTCTCCCACTTTCCAAAGACCATCAACAACAACAAGACCACCTTCTTCCTCGTTAAGAACTTCGTTTTCGTGACGCTGACGTGGACATAAGGGTCGAACCATGAGGTGATTCTTCTCGTTCTCGCCGTGGCGTTTTTGAAATACTTTTGTTGTGTGTATTCCTGTAGGCATATATTTAAAAAAAAAAAAGATAATTTCAAAAAAAAAAAATGTTTTTAAACTAATCTAAAAACACTAGAGAAAACTGAAACAAACCTTCTTCTGTGAAATCAAGATACTTCAAATCGTAGAATAATGATCTTCCTTTGTTTAATATCTTTTCAATCTGGCGAAGATAAAGAACATTAATGAGGATTTTGACATCTAAAATTACATATAAGAAAGAAAGTGAGAGTAACCTTGCAGCGAAACCAAGCTCCACGGAAACCTAATTCGAAAGATCTTGCTTCGACGGTGTGACCGACTTCAAATGGTAGACTGATTTGTGACATATTTTCTGGTTAAGGAATACGAAAGAGTTAATATTTAACATACAAATATAGGAGTCTAGAAAGCTTGTAGTTACTAAGATTCGAGTCGCGAAATTAGATCCGCACTGTGTTAAAAGAAATTAGAGAAGAAGTCACTGTTGCACGAACCTTTTGATTTTTTTATCGTTTGGAATAAACCCTAATTGATTCCTCTTTTTCTCCCAAACTTTCAGAGACTCAACTGTGGAGTCGAGGGGTCGGTCCGGAGTATCTGCGTGACGGGGATTAAACGCTCTAAACCAGAATTCTCGGTTATCCTTGTTATAAAGAATGTAATTTAATTTTGTGAACCAAAAAAATAATAATTTATTATTTAATAAAATAAATTTTTAGTTTAGTTTTGAGTAAATTTTTGGAATAAATTTCAACGTATATGATAATCGGAACAGGACTTTATCAATTTTGCTTCACATATCCTCCCGTTGGAGTTGCTTTCTCTGCTATTGTTGTAGGTTCCGGTATCAAATTCAAGCTGTGATCTATTACTACTCAATGGTTGTTTTTTGAAATTTTACAACTTCAATCATGTCCTTAGGATTGAGATTAAACTTTCTTTGTTTTGGAGTATTTTTTAGTTATTTCTTGGTTTTTCGAGAGCATCTCCAAAAAGAAATCTCATTTTAAGAGTGGAGGACCTTTACAATGAAGATTTAAAAGTGTGTTATTCCAAAAAAAAAATTCAAATATATCTTGAAAATTTTATACTATTTCTATTTTAGTCTCCAACTTTAGTATAAACTAATGATAATCACTAAAATTTATATAGATCGAATAGTACTACACTTTATAAAAATTAAACATCATATTTATAAATACAATTTATATTAAAACAAAATACATAACATAATAATAGAAAACACATATTAATTCATAACAAAATAGAAATAAAAATTGTTCACTATTGTTATTTTCATAACGTTCCCATATATGATCAATCAACCCAAAATGGTCTATTTAAATCCAATTCTTTTATATTATATTTTAGCATATTTATATATTTTATGTATTAGTTATATATATATAAGATATATTTGAATATTTCAGACAAATATATTTATAAAATATAGTTATAAGGAGTAAAGTGATAAGAAAATTAATACAAATACATTTATATGTAAGATATAAAATATAAAAAATAAAGTGAAAAGTTAATAGTATTTTGAGGATATGAACAATGGACCCTCAAATTGAAGGTTTCGTTATTTACGCCCTCAAAATTTGAGGATTTGAGAATTTTTTGAAAAGTAAAAAATTTCAAAATTTGAGAGTTTAAGGAACTCTTGACATGTTCTGAGACACCTATGCTTTGATTAATTATTCAGATGCACTAGAATTTGATCTCTTCAAAACTGATTGTATCTCTTTGTGTTGTTAATGAAAATTTATATTCTTACAAAAAAAAAAATTAGAAGAATATTTTTTTCTTAACCATCTGAAAATTTTCTACATATGAAAATGAAATTAATGAAAATAATTATCAGAACAAATTATAAGTCTATAACAAATATTTTTTGTACTAAAATAATAGTTCTATACGAAAAGCCTGATTTTTTTTTTCTTTTTTGTAACTGGCGACAGTCCTGTCTTTTGATCAATTAATTAAACTCTTTCCCCGGTTTTACTAGTTCGTAGTGAAGAAGACAATTTAGACAAAAGGAACATAGAAGCCGATAAAATGAAGAGTGATGCAGCAAAACAAGCGAGGTCCATACATGTCACCAAAGGCGTTGTCTTGAACTTCTCCATCATCCCAACGTGAAGTATCATTACCACTGCATACCCTATTCTCGCCTTTACTTCACCAATCGATTGATTGCTTTGGTCTGTTTTGCAACTCACAAACATGTTGTAAATAGCCTTTCCTATAACTAGCATGGATGTGCCGAACAAGAACATGTCTGCAGTTGTAGAGATGATCATAATAAATATGGTAAGGTGGTTTCACTCTAGAAAGTCATTCACACCACTCAATGAGTCAAAATTAGAGCAATACCTATGGCTTCGATTAAAATATGAATTGTGTTACTCTTTACACCATGCGACAATCCTTTAAGATAATGTGAATAGCATTCTAAGACACGGGAGCAGCCCTGTAAATCGCACGTAACATTAGATAATTCAACTGGTTTGTGTTATCGAATGATAAGATAGGTTACGTACACTTCTATCCTCTATTTAATTAAAACAATTTTTTAGAAAATCTATTCATTTTCCACCGAAGATAATGTGGAAAACTGAAATCATAAAAAAGCCCCTTCTAATAAATAGGACGGAAACTAATCATTTTTTTGTCAAACCGACAAGAAATTTCTGTTCATTATGTGACGTCATTAAATTTCAAATATTTTTATAAGTATAAAGTAGTTGAACAAAATATCTTTAGTCCTCTGTGTGAATTTGAATGATATGTGAGAAATGTAAGAAATTGAAAAGCATTTGGTTTCTATTTTTTTTTTTCGTTTTTAAATGTGTTTTTTACTATAGTGATCATTTTTAACTGAACATGTTACATGCCCCCGGTGTAAATATTGGATCATATGCATAGCTACAGTGTCGTTCAACAAAATAGTTTTCACTGGAGCTAAATTTTAATTCGATTCATGAGTGTTTTATCATACGACATTATTTTAAAATTATATTTTGATCTAATTAAAGGTGAAGAAGAAAACTACCTCAAAGAAACAGAGTACAGAGCCTAATAAAGTTCCAGCAACGGCAAATAGGGTGTAGAATCTGCAGTCAACTATCACCTGCATTCAATTAGACCAAAAACTCATCTCTATATTCAATTGGTTTAAGCTTTAAGTAGCTTATTGAACATGATTCCACAAAATGTTTGTCTGCATGAATTGAGGAAATATTTTTTTTAAAAAATATCCATGCAAAAACATGTGTTAAAGGTAAAGCCTGGCAAACCAAATAAATAGGACACATAAATAGAAATTAAATAGATGGAGGGAAAGGGAGATATACCCTTTCTATATTCCTCTGCAACTGCAGTTTCCAAGCCTGTCTTTTTATGGCTTGCCGTAACTCCGTGATAAGACTATCAGTTACTTGTGAGACAAGAAACACCGAATCCATCAATTCACGTCTGACTTCTGTCTTATTTGTGATCACAATCTCTGAAGTAGGAACATAAGCTTTCACCTCCACCGACGATTTTCTCTCTTTGTCTCTAAAGGACGGTTTCTGATTCTGACCATCCGATCCTAGTCCCAACGAGCATTTCACGATTCTTGTGCGTGACAGGGAAGATGATGGAAGAAAGAGATCCGTTGGTCTTGAATTACGACGCATGAGTAATCTAGTGGTGGTCATTGCTCTATATTTGCTTTAATTTTTCGAAGCTTTCGTAGATCTATCTACCACATATATATATACACTACACCGACACAATTTTTCTGTAATAGTGTGTAAAACGATGCCTTGGTGTGGCTGCAAGAGGGAAAGAGAAGATTCGTGGGATATTTCTAGTGTTTCTTGTTTTGTTGCGAACTTTTTGAGGGAAGGTTCAACTCTATTTTTTCTGGACCGTTGCTATGGTATGCGTGTCTTAATAAGCACAATTCTAAGCCGGACGTTAACACGGACCTTTTTTTTGTCCAGCTGGATAGTATAAAACATGTGTCAAAACTAGTGAACGCTTCAACTTTTTCTTCCTCTGTTTTGTTTGTATATTAGAAGTTTTTATGTTTTTTCTCCATCGTCGAAAGTTCTGAAAAATCAAACAAATATTTATAACTACTACTATATAAAAAATAAGTTACAGGAATTGTTTGTGCAGAAATTCAGGAGACCCCATTCACACATGTGATTTTGAGAGTCATCCGAGTTCGACCGCTGAAAAATGGGCCGTCAAAGTTAGACTATCATTTACGAGGTATACATAGAACTGTCAGTTGACTAGCAATAGCATAAACATATCGTCATGAATAAACAAACCATCGCAAATAGATATGTATGACAAATTCGCAATAATTTTATATGAAGACTTTGCCATGTTGATGCGATTAGTGAAATTCATAGACCTAAGCAATGAAGACAATTGTACTAGTCTACATATAGAAATTACAGTAACAAAACATGATTTGTTTTACTTATCTTCTTTTTTTTCTTGTTTAATCGGTGTGAATAAAGACAAGTGTTTCTGAACACAACAACCAGGGGCGGTCCTGAACACAACGTCTCATACCATCATATTCTTTCTTTGAGTTGTCCAAATATATGTTTTGTTTGACCATTAGAGGTTTTAATCAATCAAAATGAAAAGGTGTATTTAAGGTAGACAGAACATAACAGAAAGGAGCAAAAAGGAAGACTCCAACTGCTCATTTTCATTCTTGGCTATCATATAATCTCGTAATCTCATCACTCAAGCTTCTCCAGTTCTGACATCCTCTCAATGATCGCCTGCAACAAAGAGAGTTGATGGATATTTTTCTTAGTTTTACTGCCAACAATTAAAGGCTCTGAGAAAAGAAGACAAAAAAAAGGTTTATGGGCGCACCCGCTTGCTTGTTTCTTGAAGCTCTCCAGCAAGAATGAATTCATCCAGTATTAAGTAAACCTTCAATGAAACAACAATTGTGAATTAGTAAAAAATTAAAACAAAATAAAGAACTAATACAGAAATCTCAAAGTAACACATTTATCAATTAATCATCAGTTTTTTGCCTTACCTTGCTATGATAATGCCACACAAGAATCATCACTAATCATTGTAAATTAGCATGTAAAACAATATCAACTAAGAACTCATATGTAAATTTCAGAGCAACAACTTTTATCCAAAAAAAAGCTTGATATGATAAAGCCAAACAATCATCAATTCATCACTAAGTTTTTCCAGAAAATCACTAGTAAGACATCCAAGGAAGAATTTGCTAAACAATGACACAATCATTAACCCTAATCAGAGGTCCACAGGGATGCAGAAGACCGGAACAGTTTGAGAAGAAACATAGAGGATAAACGAAAGAAAGAATGATGTTTTGGGGGTACCTTGTGGAAGTTGAAAACCAAATCAAGCTCACAGACATTGCTGAAGAAATGGTCCAAAATCTCAACGAACAAGTGGATGCATTCAAGGTAAGCCAACTCATTGTCTGTTATGTCAACGCACAATGAGAAAAACAACCCTGCATATCGCCTGTATATAACCTTATGCGTTCTAAACTGCAAAAAAAAAAGAAAAAAAAAGATTAAACAAAAAGTCACCTATACATGAAAACGTTTTAACATATATAAGCAAGCATGATTTAGAACCCTAATCAGCTTGGCCAATCTAGTTGACTTTTACGACAAACTATGTCTCCAAAATAACACAGAATCTCTAAATCTAATTTAGTAAAACAAAAATCTCACAAACCTCAACGAAATTGGTGAACTTTGAGTCGCGATTGACCACCAATCTATGAACCTGAGAGCAAAATTAAGAATCAGATGAGAAGCTCACAAAGGGAGAGAGAAAGGAAGAGAATTGAATTATTTTTTTACCTCGTATTCAACCTTGTGTTTCTCGGACTCCTCGAGAGGAACATAGTACTTTGCAAGACGAGTCTTGCCTTGTCTGTTCTGCAATAATATGAATCGGATCTGCGAAGACAAATTCGACCAAAATCGAGATTTTCAGATATCAATTTCGAAGAACAAATGGAGAAGAATCTTCAAACTATATACCATTATTCCCGGGATCACACAACACAAAAACAAGCATCCAAGGTTTCTCTTGCCGTAAGATCTCTTCGGCAGCTTTGCGGGTTCGCCCAACAAACACTTATTGGAATGGTCAATTTAATTGTATTATTTTTTTCAGGTCATTTTCCAAAAATGACCCGTTACAGGTAACAAAAAGAAAAAGAAAAAGAAAAGGCCCGTTACATTTGAAAGATGGTGTTCTACTCAAACTCAGTAACCATTATACGTTGGATAATTTAAGCCCATTTAAACTATAGGGTTAAAATAAACAAAAGCAACATACGGTATATGTCCACAACCTCTAAAGGAGCACTATTACGAATTTTTTTTTTTAGGTATTACAGTCCACAATTTTACATGCTTTATACGGATTCACCTCTGACCGCATCACTTGAGCCGCCCTATGAGATCCACTACTGACGGTATTCTTTAGGCGTCGTTGGAGATCTCTTATAAGCTTTTTCTTCAATTTTTTCTTTGCATAGTCTAGGGTTTGAACCCCAGACCTGGGTGTAGAATTCTTAAACCCTTGACTACTATTAGGATTAGTACAATGTTTTTTATTTTTTGAAACTAAGATTAGTACAATGTTCATACGATAGATTTGTATCTATCTTTGGTTCGTGTTTATCTCTTAGATTATAGAAGACTTTGGTTTATCTATTACTCGTATAAAATACGATTGCCTATGGGGGTAATGAAATACAACAGAAACCTTTTACGAGATCTTAGATAAACCAATGAAGATCCACATTTATTTCTCGTTTCTAATCTTCGGTCTCATATTCTTCAATGGCTGGAATAGAATCGAGCTTAACCTCGCTGGCTGCAAACTCCTATTCTGTTGAGTGTGTTTTCTGGTAAAATATTCTGTTGAGTGTTGAAGTGTTGAACGTAGTTAATTAGTAAAGATGGTCGAAACTGATGGATGCTTAATTCTCTTCATACCCAAAACAAACTTCAGGTTTGTCAACGGAACGTGGAAGCGTCCGGTGGGAAAACCAGATGAAGAAGAAAAGTGGGATATGGTCAAGGTTATGATCATTGGCTGGATCTATAGCAGTTTTGAACCAAAACTACGACCATGGATATCTTTAGTCGATGGCGCAAAATCGATGTGGAGGAGTCTTCAATGAAGATTCTCTGTAAGTGATGTGATACTACAAGGATCCATCAACCACATGCTTATATTGCCGTGTGTAACATATGCAGGTGATACATGTTAATGTGTGTGCAGCCTCGAGACGAAAAAGAGAGTGCAGGTTTAAGAAATTGATCTCTATAGTCTGCCTCAATCACCAGTACTTTGCTGCTTTTCAAAACTCTCCAAAGCGTTACTTAATTTTGCTTTGAGCTGATAAATGGTTAGGTTTAACTATAACTTAGATGTACAAAGACATGGTAGTGGCTTCTTTTTCTAATCATCAAAAATATTTAATAAAAATCTGTTTAGGTATAATTTTAAGAAATATCATTTTCAATATTTCTTTACAAGTATTTATATTTTTGGCAAAATATACTGAAAACTAGGATAAGACCTGCGCGGCTGCGCCTTGCGCAGAGTATATGTAATTAAAATATAAAATTTTAGTATTGACAATTTAAAATTTATATGATTGTTTTTGTATGTATTTGCATTTAAAATATATAAAGTTTCAAAACTAATTTAATATAATTTAATTGTCTAATAATATTAGAAAATTATATTTTTACAAATTATTATTTTAAAAAAGTAATTTTATAAAAAATTATGTTAAATTTTAAACTATTTCAAAAAACAATATTTTAAGTTTTTCAAATACAAATAAACAATTTAAAATTAATTATGGTCATGATTTAACATAACCATAATGATTTAAAAAATTTAAACAATTTAAACAATTAACAAATTAAAAATTAACTCAGTTTTATATCATGATTTAACAATTTAGTAATTAATTATGGTTATGAGAATTTTACATTCACGTGTCAATCCTATTTATCTTCAATTTTTCTCTTGTTATGTTTTTTTTTATATTTTGCTTATTACTCGATATAAATATTTATTTTGAAGTTTATTCTCATTTCGTTTGTTTGTTTTATCCTGAAATTTAAAAAATACTTAAGTTTTAAAATAATTAAAGAGATGCATACTTAGGTTAAGATCTGCACTTTATGCACAATAAGTATTTTATATTTATTATTTATTTTATATTTTTCTGCATATTAAAAAATAATAAAATAATAAATATATATATTAAATAACTAAGAAATCAGTTACTATTATGTAATAAATTGGCGTATGCATATAAATTTAACTATCAATTTTGTTTATTCACAATTAGAGTAAATAAATCAAAACAATCAATATTATATAGTGTATATGATATATAATTAAATTTAAATGATATAAACATAGTAATATAACACACTTTTAATATGGATATTTATTAAATGAGGTTTCTACTCATATGATTTTATGATTATTTGCATATTTGTGTAACAAAACTTTACACCAACAATTTTTTTTAAATGTGAGATGTTTAGTAGTTTCAATAATTTATAATCATTTTTTTTAAAAAAAATGGCATATTTCAAAATTAAAATATTAGCTTTTCAATATATGTTCAAGGCAAATATCA